ACATGGCAACCAGGCCCCAGCCCACTAGGCATGAAACAGTCAGGCACATGGCAACCAGATCCCAGCCTACTAGGCAAGAAATGGTCAGGCACCTGGCAACTGAGCCTCAACCAACTAGGCATAAGACAGTCCAACACATGTCAACTAGGCCCTAGACCACCAGCTATGACACAATCAGACACAAAGCAACTGGGCCCTAGCCCACTGAGCAGGACACCATCAAACACAAAGCAACTTGGCCCCAGTCTATCAGGCATAAAAGATTTAGACACAGAGCAATCAAGCCCCAGCCAATCAAGCATGACAAAATATGACACATGTCAACCCAACCAATCAGGCATGAAAGAGCTAGACAGATGGCAACCAGGCACCAGTCAACCAGGCAGGATAGAATTGAACACACAGCAATTAGGCACCATCCAACCAGGCATTAAACAGTTGGATTCATGGCAAAGGGGTCCCAACCAGCCAGGCAGGATAGAATCAGAAAAATGGCAAATAGGCCCCAGGCCCCTAGGTATGAGACAATTGGATTCATGGCAACCAGGTCCAAGCCAATTGGGCATGAAATATTCAGACTCATGCCCATGGGGCCCAAGCCACTCAGGCATGGGACACTCAGATTTATGGCAACCAAGCCCCAGCCAATTAGGCACAAGACTATCAGATGCATGGCAAACATGCCCAAGCCACCCAGGCATGAAACAATTGGATACATGGCAACAAAGTCCCAGAATCCCTGGTGTAAGACAATTATACACATGGAAGCCAAGCCCCAGTTGCTCAGGCACAAGACAATCAGAAAAATGGCAATTAGATCCCAGCAACCCAGACATGAGACAATCAGGTATTTTGGAACCGATGCCAAGGCAATTCAAGACAAGTACCAGCCAACAGGGTACATACCAAGAAGGCGTGAAACAATCACAGACAAGTCAACCAGAAACCATTCAATTAGGGACAAACCAATTAGCTACAAGCCAGCCAGATACCACCCAACCAGGAACTAGCTCATTAGATACAAACCAAATAGACACCACCCAACCAAACCAAGGAGAAATGACACAATCAGATACATCAATGACAAGTCCAAGTCAACCAGAGATGAAAGCCAGCCCATCAGACATCACCAGCCAATCAGACTCAAGTCAAGTAGGCATAAGTCAACGAGGTAAAAGTCAATTAGAGCCAAGTGAATCAAGCATGAGTGATTTTGATACAAATCAACAAGGAATGATTCAATTACCCACGAGAAAAACAAGTACTGATCCTTTCTACATAAGACCTGCTGAGCCTCAGGACTGCCCAGATATCCTGCAATTGATAAAAGTAAGTCTGTATTTTCTTATTCCTTAGAAATTATTTCAGGGCTGAAAGAATAAAAGGAATGCATAGTCTAGCTTTGAACCTATCTCTATTAATTGTGATTCATATACACAGTGTTTTGGTAATCACTAACCCTTTCTAATCTTCATTTTCCATATAAAACAAGATTATAGCAATTACAACACCAAGAAATTGTTGTAATATATATATGAGATGTGGACTAGGGAATATAGCTTCATTGGTAAAGCATATCCAGAGGTCTGTTCACAGATACATCCCATGAGTCTAACCAACTGAGTGAAAGTTTTCTTACACACACATTTATTTTAATGCCTTTCCTAGAAACCATACCAGTACAGTAAACATGACAATGTAATAACTATAGTTACCATGATTGAATTTTCCTGTACTGACAGCAGTCATTCATGTGATACAGATGTGTATTTAGGAGTTCTCTTTGAGATTCATGTTCTTTAATATATTTCTGTTTCCCCAATACTTGATCATTTTCAAATTTAGAAAAATACTCTTTGCTAAAGAATTTATTAGTTTTCCATCAAAATTCCTTAACTAATAGACATCATTATGATGCCTTGTGTAGCTATGCAGTAGCATCATTATAGCAGAGTATAACCTTTTTCTCTGCTTGATCTTAAAACTTCTAATGTTTTTGATGTTAAAATGTTTTGCAGATACATACCAGACTAAATGACATCTTCCTCATGGGAAGTGTATGATATTTTAAAGTTTGTACACATATATTAATATTATAAATCCATAATAAACCAGTATTAAATAAAGTAGGTAAAGCAAAGCAGCTAGTTTCTCAAAAGTAATTCAGCAAAATCAAATACTGTGACCAGAGTTTTTATTACATAATTTGAAAATGACTAGTATATTCACTGAACATTTTGATCTGTTCAGGTCTAAACAGTTAAGATGTAAGCAACTTGTTATTGCTGTGAGTTAGGCTATGAGTTTACAATTCCTTAGTCACAACATAGTGTGTTTTTATATATGTGTTCATATATACATGACCATTATAATACATAAGAATTAGATGGTTACATTATTCCTAATACTAGGAATAATGTTTTTGAAGTGTCAAAAAGAGTAACACTGCTTTCTTCAATTAATGGCCCTTTTATTGTGGTTCCAGGATTTTCTTTTCCTTGAGACCTCTACTTACCTTTTTTTCTCCTCTTAAGGAACAAACCTAGGTTTTTTTTTCCTTGATTTTCTATAGCAAAACAAATAATGCCTCTCCACCATAAAAAATCTGACAATATATACTATAATTAAACATTCTGAATCATGTACCTATAGTATTTCAAATCGAAGACATTTTAAAAGGAAGCACACATTACTTAAGATTACATATTTCAAATAACTATACCTCAGTCCAAATTTAGATTGTATAGCTATCAGAATCTTCAATCCTGGTAATAATTCTATGCTTTTAATTTTCTGTGAAACACTGAAAAGTTAAACAAAATTTTGTCATGTTCAGAAATATTTAAGACTGGTTTTAAAATTTAACCATTTGGTGTTTTTTTGTATTGTTCTGATTTGTTACATTGTGTTTTGTTTTGAGACAACTGTAACCCTCACTGTCCTGGAACTTACTATGTAGACAAGGCTGGCCTTGAACTCATAGAGATCCACCTGCCTCTGCCTCACAAGTGCTAAGATTAAAGGGATCTATCCCTATGCTTGGTGTTGAAGTACAATTTTCGAAACAGACCTTATAGTAGAGCTTAAATTTTCATTTTCTGTATATGTGTTTGCTTGAAACCAACTACTGCACAAGATAAACAACCAATTGGAAACTTTTATTTTTATCTGATAAACTAATTTGAAATTATTTACACTAAATGAGGTTTTAAAAATTGGTCTCTTTTGCAGATATCAAAATAGCAATCATTTGATCTAAATTGCCAAAATATCCAAAATAATAGTGAAAATTATTAATGTGAAATTATGTGAAATATAAGTTTGTTAGAGCTCTTATACATATAGTATAGTTATCACAAAGTTGAAAATGTTGCAAAAATATGGTTATTCCTGAACTGTTACTTTTCCTGCTGTATTCTAACTGACCAAGACCATATGAAGAACACATCTTTATAAATTAGTGCTAATTGATATGGAGACTGATTAGGATGTTACTAATGAAGCTATATGCTTATGTCTGGATTTTTTGAAAAGCAGTCATTTTGTCTTAATGTTTCTAGTGCTGTGATGAAACACCATGACCAACGCAACTTGTGGAGGAAAGGGTTTATTTGGCTTACACTTCAGCATTGCTGTTCATCACTGAAGGAAGTCAGGACAGGAACTCAAACAGGGCAGGAACCTGGAGGCAGAAACTGATGCAGAGGTCATGGAGGAGTGCTGCTTACTTGCTTGCTCCTCATGGCTTCCTTAGCCTATTTTCTTATAGAACCCAGGACCACCAGTCCAGGGATGGCACCACCACAATGGTTTGTTTCCTCTCCCACTGATCACTAAAGAGAAAATGCTCTACAGGCTTATATGTAATGGCTTAAATATGTACAGGCTTAAAATGCCTATAGCCTGATTTTATAGAAGCATTGTCTCAGTTGAGGTTCTGTCCTTTCAAATGACTCTAATCTGTGCCAAATTGACAGAAAATGAGCCAGCACACATTTTGAAGAACTTAAATTTATTTCATTTATATAGATAAGTAAGATTTTATTGTGGGGTAAGAAATATTCTGTTGAATTCTTGTACTGTCATATGGGAAAATGCAATATCTTCACAGTTTTTGTCAATGCAAAATAAAATTTAACTCTAGATTACCTGGAAAAATAAAATAATGTAAATTAAAATAATGTAAATAAAAAGAATACAAGAGAATATAACAAAATAATAATATTAGAAAAGTTTTTAAAGTGTTTAATGTATAAGTACATATGTATTTTCATGTGACTGACATGACTGCATTTGACATTATAAATAGAAAGTTGATACATAAAAATTAAGATTTTATTGTTGTCCTTGTTCAGCTCATGTTTAGACAGTTATTTTGGTGAGAATTTATGGCTGTAACCTTCAGACACTGCTAAGTAAGCAAGGAGTATATGGGAGAGTACAGAGGGAGAAATGATGTGGTTATATTATAATCTCAAAAATAAATGAAAAAGGGTTTTCATAAAATTATCAGAACTAGCACAATGAAACTTTATGAAGTGTCCAAAAGTTTTCTAAAGTACATGTGAGAATGTGGTATTTGATACTAAGGGATATTTCAAATCACTGAATATAAGAGGGGTCATTCAATTAACGGCACTGGGATGACAGAGTAGGTATGATGGTGACATTCTACCTTAGTGTTTACACACACAAAAATATACAAAGCAATTAGTAAGAACAGAAGAGGATAAAAACCAGCATTTTGTACAATTGATAGCCCCAACTGAAAATAAAGAAAAGAAATGGACAAAGGAGATCAAGAGTGAATATTTTATAACTTTCTAAGCATGAAATAAGCATCACAAAAGAAAGAATTTGGATGGGCAAAAAAATTAATAATAAGGGCCACAATTTTAAAATTCTAAAGTTATACTAGCAAAAGCCACCCCAGGCAAATACATGTCACAAATTTCTCTGTAAAGTCATAATAAATAAACATTGTGACTGTGACTACCCAGAAAAAAGTTTTCCTTTACTTTCCAGGTTCCTGCTGAATTCAAAGCTAGTAACCCAGAAAGTTAACCTTCACATAACCGTGATATGAATTCTATCATATGTCTATTGTCTCTCTATAAATCTACCTGCCTATCATCTAGCTACCAACTAGTCATCTACCTAGTTTGTGTTGCATTGCTGTTTCAGATTTTAATTTCTAGATAACTGTGATCAAGTTTGACTTCTTTTTAACACATCACAGGATACCTGTGTATATAAATGTTAAATAAATATTTCAATGATTATAATATTTACTAAATCATCAGCTGAAAGGTTTTTTTCTACTTTGACAGGAAATGGCTTCCTATGAAGGCATGCAAGAAAACGTGAACTTAACAGAACTGGGTAAGATGTTTTGTGGTAATTTTAGAGCAGGTAAAAACTGTGTGAATGCATGCACACAGAATAGATACTTAGGTATGCAGAAGCTTCCATCCTTGTTACAAAACATGACCCTACTAATAACATTGAAATATACAAGACACAAATTCCTTAGCCTTTTCTTTTCTTTTTAAAAAATTTTTTAAATTTATTTAACTTTATTTTATGAGCATTGGTGTAAAGGTGTCAGATCTCCTGAAACTGGAGTTACAGACAGTTGTGAGCTGCCATGTGGGTACTGGGAATTGAACCCTGGTCCTCTGGAAGAGCAGCCAGTGCTCTTAACTGCTGAGCCATCTCTCCAGCCCCACCCCCCCTTTTTAATTTTTTTTCCCTTAGCCTTTTCAGTGTTCCACTAGTTTCCATTTTCACTCAAAGCATGAAACGGATACAGATGCAGTAGACTGTAAATGCATTGCAAAACAGAGAAGAGGAGGTATGACTGGTCAAAAGTGCTACTTAACATGCAATATGTTGGAAAGAGCTTTGAAAAAAGTTAGTTTTATTACATTTGATAACCGAAATATTAATGGATAATGTAGAAAATTATTATGAATTAGAACTTTTTACACAGTAATAAGAAGGCTAAAAGATGGTGAAACATCATGATTGGCAAAGACCAAATAAAGAGGGTCATTTATTTAACATTAGAAGAATCAAGTGAAGGGTAGTCATTTAAAGTTGAATACTTAAGTATGAACATAATCTACTAAGACCCTTCCACAAAATATTCTTCTACTCTGTGGAGATTTTTTTTACCTCTTTTTATAGCGTGCTATTTTGTTGAAGTTTAGCTTTTCCAATTTGTCTCTTTTTCTTTGACTGTGCTTTGGTTGTCAGGTAGACCTAAGAAACCATTGCCACTTACAATATCTTACTGATTTCCTACATTTTCTTCTCAGAGTTTTCTAATGTTACATCCACACTGCCATCTTCAATCTATTTCAAGCTATATTCTGAATATGATTAAAAAGGGTCCAACTTTGTTATTTTATATATGGAAAAATAGTTTTTATAAGATGGTTTATTGGAAAGTCAGTCTTTTCCTCAATTAATGGTTTTGGTACCCTGATAACAAATTGGTTAACCATATTAAGTTTGTGAGTATTTAAGGTCCTGTTTCTGTTTGGTTGGTCTATATGTCAGGCCTCTTTCCAGTATCATACTGTTTTAATTATTATAACATTATGGTGAATCTGAAAATTAAGCAGTGTGTATCCAACAACTTGATTCTTTCATTTTAAAGTTGTTTTGGATATTTGGAGTTCTTTGGAATCTGTATCAATTTAAGGAAACGGAGAGTGGGTGTGGTGCTTGAGTGAGAATGGCCCCTAGTTTGGGGACTCTTTAAGATTGGGAAATGCAGTCTTGTTGGAGGAGCTGTGTCACTGGGGATGGGCTTGGAGGTTTCAAAAGTCCATGCTAGGCCCAGTGACCCTCTCTCCTCTGCCTTCTGCCTGTGGGTCAGAATGTAAAGCTACTGCTCCAGTGCCCAGTGCCATGCCTCTCTGCCTCCCACCATGATGATCATGGACTAATCGTTTTAAGCCCCCAATTAAATGCTTTCTTTTTAGAAGAGTTGCCTTGGTCATTGTCTCTCTTCACAGCAATAAAACAGTAACTAAGACCGAAGTTGGTACCAGGGACTAGGGTATTGCTGGAACAGGCCTGATCTCATTGTTGTTTAGAATATGGAAGATTCTGGGACTTTGAACCAGAAAAGTAGTTGAATGTTTTAAGTGGGATTTTGGTAGTTTGGATAAGACTGACCCATATACTCATATACTTAAATGCTTAGTCACCAGGGAGTGGCAATATTTTAAAGTATTAGAAGGACTGGAGGAAGTGTGTCACAGGGAGTGAGTGGCCTTTGAGGATTCAAAAGCCCATGCCAAGAATCTCAGTCTCTCTCTCCTCCTTCTTCCCTCCTACTCTCTTCCCCTCCCTCTCCTTTCTCTCACTCCCTTCCCACCCCCCCTCCCTCCTTCCCTCCCTCCCTCCGTGCCCCCCTCTCTCTGCCTGAGGATCAGGATGTAGTGCTCAGCTACTAAGCCAGCACTGTGCTCCCTACCATGCTGATAATGGATTAAACTTCGGAAACTATAATGAAGCCTCAAATAAATGTTTTCTAAGTGTTGCCTTGGTCATGGTGCGTGGTGATATTTTGTTCTACCCTAATAAAATTTGCCTGAAGATCACAGAACAGAACAAACCACTAGATTAAACATAGAGGCCAGGCACACACCTTTAATCCCAGAATTTGGGAGCCGCACACCTTTAATCTCAGCACTAGGAAAGAAGTGAAATAGCTGGGCAGAGAAAGGCATAGAAGGCATGAGGAGACAGAAACTAGAGCCTTTCGGCTAGGGAGGGGCCTTTGGGCTAGAGAGCCTTTTTGGCTGGGGAGCCCTTTCCAGCTGAAGCCCTTTTGGCAGAAGCCCTTTTTGGTTGAAGCTTTTTTGACCCCTTTCAGCTGAGGACTTGGAGACACTCAGTCAGAGGATTCATGGAGTTGTTGAGGTGAGACGTGGCAGTGGCTTGTTCTTGCAGTTACACTATACCACACCACTAGTTTCAACAAAATTGCATCTTGATTATTTTTAAATGATTTGCAGCAATAATATTCATTTGCATTTATCAATTAGCTGGTTGTCATGCTAGGAACAGAACCTAGGGTCTCTCACATGCCAGCAAAGTGCTCCATCATTGATTCACATTCCAAGTCTTTTGATTTCCTTCTTCATTTATTGGTTGTTTAAAAGTGTGTTAATTTTCATTTATTTTTGAATATAGAGATTTTTTTTTACCTATTGATTTCTAATTTCATGCCTTTGTGATTGGGAAATATACTGAGCATTATTTTAGTCTTTAAAATTTTATCAAGCCTTGACATGTAGACTAACATATGTCCTATCCTGCAGAAAGTTCCTTGGACACTTGACATGCACATTGTCTTATACATGTGTGTGTTGTTGTATTGAATGCGAATGGTCTCTATGGGTTCATATGTTTGAATGCTTGTTTCCCAGTTGGTGGAACTATTTGGGAAGGATTATGAGTTATATACTTGTTGGAAGACCTGTACCACTGGGAGCAAGGCTTGAGGTTTCAAAAGACTCATGCCATTCCCACTGTGTTGTGTCTGCCTCCTGCTTATGGATCAAGGTATTTCAGCTGTTTTTGCCACCAAGCCTTTGTTCTGCTATCATTGGCTCTAACCCTCTGAAATTTTAAGCTAAATTAAGTGCTTTCTTTATAAGTTGCTTTTGTCATGGTGTTTTAATAGAGCAGTAGAAAAGAAATAACATACAAGATAAGTTCAGTTGGTCTCTAATATTGTTCAGTAATCTATGAAATCTATTTATTTTCTATCTTGTTATATACATTATCGAAAGTGTAATATTAAAGTCTCATACTATTAGTATGTTGCTATGTCTTTCTCCCTTCATTTATATCAGCATTTGTCTCTTTTATTTCAGGGTTGTAATTTTTGTTATGTATATGTTTATAAATGCTCTATCTTCTTAGTGATTTGATATTTTTATAATTACACAATTCCACTCTCTCCTTCAATAATCTATAATTTTATAATAGTATAGCTACCCAAGCTTTCTTTTATTTATGTTTGCATGCTATCTTTTTCCATCATTTCATTTTCAGCCTAGTTGTGTCTTTGAATCCAGAGTGTGTCTCTTACATAAAAATGTAATTGAATTTTTTTTAACTGTACTGGGTTCTGGAAGATGGCTCTGTAAAGTAAAGACCTAATAACTTGAGTTTGAGTCCTAGGACCCACATGGTGAAAGGAAAGAACTGACTCTTGCCAGTTGTCCTCTGACCACCCTCCCCACTACACACACTAAAGGTAAAAATGTAAAAACGGAAAAAAAAAGAGTATCCATTACATTCATCATTATATTTTAATGGAGTAATCTTTTTATATTTAACTACACAAAAGAGTCACTTCTGCCATTTTATATTCTTTCTTTGTCCTTCATTTCCCTCATTAATAACTCACTAATAACTTCTTTTGCACTTTGTTGATTTTATTTAAACACTTAATGTGTCTTATTATTGTAGGTTCTTTGTAGCAGAGATTAACAGACTATGTTGAAATTTTATTAAATTCTCTCTCATGTGTGTCTATTCTCATAGAAAGAGGAGAGAGTGAAAGAGAGTGAGAGAACAAGAGAGAGAGCAAGTGAGAGCAAGAAAGAGGGGAGGAGAGAGAGAGAATTCCCATAGAAACACAAAGCAGGAGTAGATCCATTTAATTTCCCAGAAGTCACTTCAGTCAGTGGAGGGTGGAATAATGAAAATCAGTCTCCAAGCCTTCATCTCAACAATCAGTACAGCACATTAAGGACAAGACAGTTATTGATCAACCAGGCTTCAACAAACTATTCCAGAAACACAAGCTGTCACTCCTACAGACACCTGCTAGAAAACTCAAAGGGACATAGGCAGGTAGCTGACACCACATGCATGGCTTCATTTAGCCCAAATTAACAGCAGATACTAGGCAGACTCTCTTTAAAGTTGTGAGTGTTAAAATACTCACTTCTGATGGTTTTTCCTAGTATAGCTGCTGTGTAGGGAGGAAGATGTGTTCCCACTGCTTCCTATCATGACATCTTTGCTTATAAACTTTGATATGTTGTATGTGGATTGATATTTCAGATTTATTCAGGGATGGTTTTGGAGACAATCCACTTTTCTACTGCCTGGTTGCAGAAGTACCCGCTCAACAAACAGAATCAGGTAAATGTTTCTTCTCCAGTTTAATCTCTAATACATATTTTATATCTGAAATCAGAGTTAACAGTTAATAAATACACATTGTGTAAATAGTATTAAGCAGAGGAGTGCAATATGCAAACCCGGTGTACTTTTAAATAACTGTTATGTAACTCTGATTATAAAGGTATTAAAAATTATAAGAACATGTCAAACTATATACTTTCTTTTAAAGACTATAAGAAAAAAAAGAAAAGTAAACTTTCTACATTGTAAATTTATGTACTGATATTTTGTCCAACAACCACTTATTGCTTTAATAGTTAAAGCAGCAAACACTTTCATATTCTATTTGAAGACATATACCTTTTTATGATTTAAAGCATTACCCTTTTTGTTCCCTCTCTTCTCCACAGGAGTAAAAATTATTGGATTTGCCATGTACTACTACACATACAACCCATGGATTGGCAAACTGCTTCACCTAGAGGATTTTTACATCATTGAAGGTTACCAAGGTAAAACTACAATCAATAGTATTTGCAAACATCTAAAAGTTTCTAAGTTATATTTTAATGTAAAGACTACAGATAAGCCTTACTATGCATATGATTTTTAAGTTATTCAGATAACTCATTTCCATTTCTTGAGCCTGATCAGGATCCTAGTACAGTGAAGACTCAACTACAAGTTAGAAAATATTTCAATAGTATTCATCAACACACTCAAGTAAGCTATGTTATCCCCAACTACTATTTTTATCTGTAAAATAATTTTATATTTTAGGTTTGTTTCTAATAGACATAGTTAAGAAATATACCCTGTTCTATGAAAACAGTGAAGGCCACCATGGTGACACACACTTTTAATTCCAGTATTTGGGATGCAGAGGCAGGTGTATCTCTGTGAATTCAAGTTCCAGGCCATCCAACAATAGATGGTGAAACCCTTTCTCAAGAAAAAGAAAGAATACAGAGACTCATTTATTCATCATGAATTTTTTTATTATAATTATTAAATTTATTTAAAGCACATTGATCATATTCATCCACCACTTCCTCTCTCTGACTAGTGCCTCCAACCTCTCCTCCCTCCTTTCTTCCTGCCCTGTTTTTTTTTTTATAATTAATAACCCCCAAGTCCAATCAGTGTTACCTTCATATACATGGGTGTTTGGCAACCCACTAGAGCATCAGGAATCTACCAGTGACCATATCACCAAAGATGAATGAATGACTCCATCTCTTGGCAACTTTAATCATCATGAATTTTTAAGATAAAACTAATCTCTTTTGTATTACCATTGTTGTCGTGCTACAATAAGATAAAAGATGATTTAAAGTGTTCATGAGTTTGGTTTCAACATGTTATTATATATATATAGTAGAATATATGGCAACCATAAAGAGTTTGATCTTTTATTGATTTAATATTAAAATAATTGACTACTTTAGTGAAAATTTTCAATGTACAGCCTTATTTGACAATGTCTATTTAATAGGTCTAGGTATTGGGGCTGCTATGCTGAAGAAGCTAAGTCAGGTATGTGTTATAGTTAGTACTCATAGTCTACATATTATCCTTTTCTTTATCAAGTGTTATTTAACAAGGCATAGATTCGGTAACTAATCTTACTGATTAAATATAACACCAAGACTTGCTCAGTTGGTAAAGTGCTTGCCTTGAAAACATGACGATTTGAATCCAATCCCCAGAATCCACATAAAAAGCCAGGAGTAGTGGTACGTACTTTTATGCCAGCAGTGGCAGGGTGACAGGTAGAGACTGTTGGATCTCTTGTGCTCACTAGCCACCACACTAACCTACTTAGTAAAATTTCAGGTCCCTTAGAGACTTTGTCTCAAACAAAAAGTGGAAAGCACCTGAGGGATAACAACTGAAGTTGTCTTCTGATCACCACATGCATGCACACACATGCATCCCAAACTCATATGAACACATGCATTCATATACACAAAACATTTTTGCAACATGCATTTCAAATATTTATTAAAGTGGATTTTCAATTTGAAAGCTCAGATAGATTCTATGTTATATTTAATTAAATTTTATTCCTATATATTGTACAAACATACTGTGATTTTTTACCATCAAGAATAAGCAAACATGAGAGTAGAAAGTAATTTTATTCATAAAATAGACCCACAATGTGACCTGCAATAATATAAAAGATTCTTTTAGTTCAAAAATAGCTATAGTCTTTTGCATTATTATATACATATAGTAATATATATATATTGGAGATCTTCAGGAAATAGTGAATGACTATACTGTCAAATAAGGACAATATTTACTTGTTTGTTTTTAAACAGATAGCCATCAGTTCCCAATGCAGTGCCATGCAGTTTCTTGTTGTCATTTGGAATCAGGATTCCGTTGCGTACTACAGTCGCCTAGGGGCTTTGGACCTTTCCTGTGAGGAAGGCTGGCATTTGTTCAGATTTAACATGGAAGATCTCCTGGAACTTGCAGAGGAAACATGAAAAAAGCCTGGTAACAACTCATCCCAACATAGGCCTCAACATGTGAATGTCACCTTAGAAACATCACTTTGACATCAAATGTTGTGAAATAAAGCAAGTGAGCACAATATTCTTGTAGATATTTTGACTTTGAAACAGATTTTTCAAGATACAGTCAATTTGTCATTACCCAAACTAAACAGTAATGGCTAGTAAAAGTTTTAACAATCTAATTGATTGCATCATTGAAAAACCACTCACACTGGGCTTAGAGTTTTTAGTAACTGTATTTCATCAAATGTACAATGGTGGCATTTTCACATAATTGAAATTAAGATAAGCACAATGCTCAAATGGCATTTTCTTAAGGATTTGTTTTATACATGATGAAGTATGAGTATATTTAAATAGAAATAGTAGGTATAAGGTTTAAAATTCATTTCCTACAGTGATACTAAGTTCTGAAGACCTTACTTGTGAAAAATGAGTGATTCCTTATCTTGGGCATTCAGTACCATTGCCACTTTGCTACTGTTCCATAACTACATTCCATCCCTAAACATCTAGAGCTCTCTGGCTGTACTTCGAGAAGATACCGCATTCAACACTGCTATTTGTATATGTTTCCATCCTTCCTGGTACAGTTGCTTTATAGAGTCACAATTATTTTGGAATTATGTAACTATGTAGTACCATCATAAAAAGGTGAGTTCCCAATATACACCAACCATACCCACTAAGGATATTTGTCTGTGAGAAAATACTTATTTAAAAACTGTGTATTTTATAATATTTATAAATACCAAGGACAAGGGGTTGCATTGAATTCACAAATCCTATCCGGAGGATTGAAAAAGATGACAGTAAAATTATACTTGAAGTTTGGGTAGGACATGAGAAGGTAAAGTGAAACAAGACAAAGGGGCATACTGAGAGGAAACAGCACAGGCATTGAAGAGGCAGAAAGAAGAAACATGCTCATTAAGCAAGTGGAATATCATAAATGTACATTTGAAGGAAGTTGTATAAGAAGGAAGATTAGAATATAAGATATAAGACAGTAATGTTTCGATTTGATTTTATAGGCAATGGTGTGCTACTGAAGTTTTCATTAACACACCTACTTAATAGTTGTCAAAAGATGACTGTCACAAAATTAAAGATGAGCTGTAAGAATCAGGTAATATACACATAAATCAAACTCATCCATTTCTAATCTTTAACATTTTGCCTTTCTCGCCACAAGAAAAAAAAAATCATTTCCTACCTTCTTTGAGTGAATATTGTAGCTATATAGGTTCTGGTTTAGATATACACAGAAATCTTCTGATGAAAAGGACTCAGGTGTACTCTCTGCATACTGTACACTTGTCCCTATGTCTTCCCACTTTGGATATGTAACATGTTCCCTTCTGGTAGAACAGTCATCCTGTGACTCTGAAATGTGCTTAGACCAGTGTGGAAAGTCTAGGTCTTGATGTCACCAAGGAAACATTGTATTATACCTATGCTACCTGGTTTTTGGTTTTAAATATAATCCTTGTTTAAGCTCTTTACCTGGTTCACATGCAAGCAAAAGACATTGTGAAGAGAGAGGAAGGTTGATGGTGTGCAGATTAGCCAGTACATTATTGTGCTCTCAGGAGAGTGATGATGAAATATAATAAGAAAATGATAGGATTAGAATGGGGAAGGTAGACATTTAGTTTTAGACACAATGACATTGAAATACCTTTGAAATGTTGAATCAATATAAATATTCATTAGAAATATAGGTTGGTCTATAATATTAGAGAAAGACTGAGGCTATAATATAAATAATAACTTAGAAATGGTTTCTGTAGCCAGAAGGTGGTTGAATAAAAATGAAAGCATATAGAGAATGAAGAAAGATCACAAAGAATAGAAACTGGGAAGTCTCAGCCTTTAAGAGATTTAACGCAACAGAAACATGAAGAATAACAAGAAATTCAGAGTAAGGAAAAGTAAGTTTCAAGGAGGGAATGGTGAACAGTGATTAATGATCTAAGAATTCAAGTAGGTAAAGAAGCCAGAATGGTCCAAGTTCAAGAAAAGTTAAAAGACAGGAAGCTAGATAGGGAATTGATTACCCTTTTTATATATAACCTAAAGTTTGATTATAAAAGTAAAATTGAAATGACACCATAAAACTAGTCTGCCATTGTCTTTGAAACCCTAGTGTATCAAAGCAGCTCTAATTCTCAGTGAGTTCTCAGATGCTCATCAAGTATCTTGGTTCTAATTTTATTTTAGTGTGCTTCATTCTTGAAATAGTTGTTCACCAAGGGAGCTGATCCCAAGAGCAATGCCATGAATTGTGCTAAAAGTGAAGGACTCTGAGTCTAGCAAAATGGGACCTATAAATCTACTAAAGAGAAATGACCTTTTTAAGTTCAGTGTCAAATTTCAGCTCCATGATTTCCATTTGAAAATTGTCAGGGAACAATTATGTTGACTAAAACTGGAGTTACAAATATACAAATATACAAAATTTTCAGAAATTTTTTTATTTTTTAATTTAATTATTTATTTATTTTAATTTTTTTGGGGGGGGGTTTCGAGACAAGGTTTCTCTGTGTTGCTTTGAGCCTTTCCTGGAACTCCCTTTGGAGACCAGGCTGGCCTCGAACTCAGAGAGATCCACCTGCCTCTGCTTCCCTCATGCTGGGATTAAAGGCGTGCACCACCACCGCCAGGCCTAAATTTTTCAGAAATTTTAAAATCTGTTTTCACATTCTTGTATCAAATTTAAAAAAAACAAGGTTACATAATTTTTGGAGCTCTGGGAATTATGTTTAGCCAACATGACATAATTTCACTTTCATTTGGAACACTTATAATTTGACAAACTGTCCTGATAAGTTGATTTTTGACCTTGAAAATACATATTTATATCACTTCAATAAGTTACATACCTGAAATTGGTAAGTCTGTAAACTAGCTTTCATCATCCAGTTCTGGCACAAATTTTCTATGTGATCCCATAAAGGACCTGATAATGCTTCACAAATCATTTTTTTAAACATTTGGCCTCAAACCACCTTATTTCTGAAAGTAAATAATACCACCATGTCAAAATCAACATTTTAAAGGAATTCCCATCAACTGGTGATAATTTAATCCTTTGGGTCTTATGAAATTCAGGATTTAAAAAAGTGATATACAGACAGTGCAAGTTGTATTTATATATTTAGGAACACACACACAGACACACAAACACATACAAGCATAACAACAACTAATGAAAAAAGAAGCCATAACATTGAAAGAGAACAAGGAATGATATATGGGATTTTCAGGGAGGAAAGGGGAGGGGGAATTATGTAATTAGAATTTCAAGATTGCTTTAAATAATTAAAATACACATTTTTTAAAAAGATTTTACTTTTCTCTGCTTTTAATTTTTTTGAAACTATAATGTAATTATATCAGTCCCCCTTCCCTTTACTCCCTCAAAATTCCCCCATACACCACTTCTTGCTCTTTTTCAAATTTATGGCCTCTTTTTTCATTAATTGTTCTTACACACACACACACACACACACACACACACACATGCACACACATTCCTAAGTACAAAAGGACAACCTGCTCAGTCTGTATAGTGTAACTTGTGTTTTCAAGGTTGACCCATCAGTATTGGATAACCTACTGATGTGCTCTTCCCTGAGGAAGATTATTTCTCCTGCTCTCAGCATCCTTCATTGCCTGTAGTTCTTTGGGTTGGGTTGATGCCTCCTGAGCTTTTCCCTACTAAGTTTGCCATGTCTATTGTTGCTGTCCTTGTTCCATACATCTATACAATGTATTCTGACCACATCTATCCATCACTACTTCCTCCAACTCTCCTTTATGCTCTCCCTCCTAACTTCACATTATATTATTTTTGTTATTAATAACAGTCTAATTAATGCTGCTTACATGCAAATGGGTATAGGCCATCCAATGGGGCATGAGCAACCTACCACGGGTCATATCGCCAAGAGAAAGTGATGCTCCCTCTATTAGCAGCAATCAGTGTACTATAGCTCCTTGGATGGGGGTAGGACCTCAACATAGAGGGGTAGTAAGGGGGAGCAGGTCTCCTATCTATGCTGGAATTTTGACTGGCTTGATCTTGTACATGATACTATCCATTTTTAATACTTAAAAACTTTCATGAATGTGCATATATGTGTATACATTAATGTGTGAGTGTGGGCACATCTATGCTACAAGTACATTTGTAGTGAACAAAAATTGTTTGAGATATATTTCTTGTTCTTTTCTATTGCATACATCAGGCTAGCTATGCCACAAACTTCCGGGGTCCTCATATCTCCACATCCTGTGGTGATATACTGTGTATCCCAATACAGCTTACCTGGGGATCAGAGGACAGAGCCAGTCACTAGATTAGACATAGAGTTCAATGGTGACACACACCTTTAATCCTGTCACTCAAGAGGCAGAGATCCATTTGGATCTCTGTGAATTCAAGGCCACACTGCACTATGTGAGAGAAACAGAACCAGGCAGTGCTGACACATGCCTTTAATCCCAGGAAGTAATATGGCAGAACACAGAAAAATATAAGGCATGATGAACAGGAACTCTCTCTTGAGGCTGAGGATTTTGCAGAGGTAATCTAGTGGCTGGTTGTTCTGCTTCTCTGATCTTACAGTTTTCACACCATTATCTGGCTCTGGGTTTTTGATTATAAGACCTTTGAAGATTCATGTTATAGCATCTCCTCTTGTAGTAAGAATGTAGCGACACAGAGATTACAGAGGTACACTGCTGCACTTGGTATTCCTTGGTTTCTAAAGATTCAGACTCAGTTCTCCAGGCTTTCACAACAAGCCTTTGACCCACTAGACCATCTCTTGCCCCATTTCAATGGTTCTGCACACAAAATTTGTTGGTGTGCTATGCAAAGACACTTCATTAGATATGAATTTGAGGAAGCAATTTCATTATCTTATATTAACTTTATAAATTCCTATCTTTTATCTCCCACTGCTGGGATACTGTCAGTAACTATATATGCTGACAATGGATAAGGAAAATTCTTTTAATATGTATTACTGCTTCATATAAATCTCTTGATTTGGCTGCACTCTTTAATGCCATTAAAGAAGTCATTTCCTCAGAGACATTCTATTTGTCATCAACACCATCATTAAAATATCAACTTCAACCATATTTGTATTAACAGTGGGTCTACTGCCAAACTTCTCTCAACAGACCTTACCATTTCTTAAATTTGCCTGACTGCTCTCATGAGACACATTTATTGTAGAACTCTCTCCCCCTTTCTGAGGGTGCTGCATTTGTCACACTCTCTACACATTGTTTAAGAAACTCACTATAAGCAAATGCTTTTCATTTTGCTATTAAATAAGCTGTCAAAGAACTAGCTATTGCAATGTAACAATATAATTCATAGGAGTTATAACTTAAAACCTAAATTTGTTGAAAAGACAATTTTTCAGTTCTGCGGTTTTGTTTTGTTTTTTGTTTTTTTTTTTTGGTCTTTTCGAGACAGGGTTTCTCTGTGTAGCTTTGGCGCTTTTCCTGGAACTCAACTCTGTAGACCAGGCTGGCCTCAAACTCACAGAGATCCGCCTGCCTCTGCCTCCCAAGTGTTGGGATTAAAGGCGTGCACCACCACCACCTGGATGTTTTGTTCTTAATATACAATACTTGATATGTATCCAATTTTGCAGGATGGCTTTGCATATAAGGCCTTTTCAAATTATAGTCTTTGAAAGGTCACACAAATTCCCTTTAAATTATACAGAATGCCTAACTATTTGCCTTAAAAAAAATCTAGTTTTCACTGAGCAATCTTCCTTCATTTATAATTTTTTTTTTTTTTTTTGGTTTTTCGAGACAGGGTTTCTCTGCGTAGTTTTGCGCCTTTCCTGGAGCTCACTTGGTAGCCCAGGCTGGCCTCGAACTCACAGCGATCCGCCTGGCTCTGCCTCCCGAGTGCTGGGATCAAAGGCGTGCGCCACCACCGCCCGGCATTTATAATTTTTATATTTGTGGCCCGGCAGTGGTGGCACACGCCTTTGATCCCAGCACTCGGGAGGCAGAGGCAGGCGGATCTCTATGAGTTCAAGACCAGCCTGGTCTCCAAAGCGAGTTCCAGGAAAGGTGCAAAACTACACAGAGAAACCCTGCCTCGGGAAAAAAAAATAATTTTTATATTTGTATTCTGCTTTATTTAGAGATGTTGTAGAAGCCATGGTAGAAAAACTAATAATGAGGGGCTGGGTAGTGGTGATATACTCCTGTAATCCCTGCACTTGGGAGGCAGAGGCAGATGGATCTCTGTGAGTTCGAGGCCAGCCTGATCTACAAAGCAATTTCCAGGACAGCCAGAGCTGTTAAATAGAGAAACCCTACCTCAAAAATAACAAAAAACAAAGCAAATAAACAAAAAATAGTAAAGCACTATGTTTACTTAAAAACACTTCTTTAGCTGGGCAGTGGTAGGCATACACCTTTAATACCAGTACATGGGAGGCAGAGGCAGGCGAATGTTTGAGTCTGAGGCCAGCCTAGTCTACAGAGCTAGTTCCAGGAAAGCCAAGGCTGTTACACAGTAAAATCCTGTCTCAAAAAACCAAAAGAAAAAGAGTATTTATCATGTGCACACGAGCATGTCACTGCCTTTGTGTGCAGGTCACAGGATAACCTGTAAGATTCAGTTCTCTCATTGCTCATTGCACCATGAGCGTTTGAGGGGGCTCTAACTCAGGTCATCAGGCTTCAGGGAAAACACTTTGACTTGCCAGGCCATCTCTCCAGCTTTGTGTTTACTTATTATGAAACTTAATTGACAGAAAAGTAGAAAACAAGGTCTGAGCTCATCAACATGTCAGATGCTGATACAGTAAGAAAGGGAGGGTCTATCGTAAAGTACTCCAGGCAGTGTGTTAGGAGTGACTCAGCTTTGAAGCATCCTGAAGAATCAAACAATACTTGCCAGTCTCCTAACTAACTAACACCTCATGGTTGTAATGCCCATTAAAACATTATTGATAATCAATGTGCTCCCCTTCATTTGCACATTAATAGCTTTTAAAAGATGTACAGGAAATTATAGAAAGAAACTCAAGAGAAAAGACAGTTTGAGAGAAGAGGCTGAGTTATATTTTGTTTTGTTTTTTGTTTTTTTACTGTGCTTTTGGATTTTCTTAAAAAACAAAACTAAACTAAATCTATTTACCAGTTGAGGGACAGAACTGATTGAAAAGAGAAAACAAAGACTGAAGGTTAAACAGGGTGAAATAGAGTCCTGTAAAAATGGAAAATCAGAAATCTGAGAAGAAGCACTAGTCTTAGGAAAGGGTGCAAAGAATGAGTACAAAGAGTAACTCTGGAATTTAGATGGCTGGTTGCGAATGGTCAGATCTAAGAATTATACATTTCTGCTCTATGAAATAGAAAACAGACAACTTTGATGGGTTTAAGAGGCCTGAGAAGAATGAAACAGAAAAGCACAATACCTAGGAAGCAGAAACAAAATTGCTAAGCAGTATTAGGAAAATGCATTATACGGTCCGGTCCTTTTAAACAGATGTTTTCAGGCATATAAGAGTAGTTAAACTAAATAAAACAAAGACATAAACCCAAGTTCATGTGCCATAAAATATGGATATTTTATTCCAGCTCTGGGAACAAAGAACACATCCTTCTATCCACCATTCTAAGTTAACTGGCAATAATTGGGAAAACTGAAGCAGATTCATATGTATAAACATGTATATGTATATTTACATATGCATATTTTCAGGTTTTAGTCTTACTGACATTTAATCTTCACTTTATTTTGCTTTCTAATAAATTCTCTTACAAGTCATGAAATATACTCCTAGTACTTCTACTTCAGTTGCCTTATCAATCTCTTAATATTACTTGTGTTGTATTCATTATTTTGAGTTTTAACCACTTCTATCATTGGCCAAAATGTTTATTTTAAAATGTCATGGGACAATTTCTAGTCATGCTGTCAGTTACCCATTCATCACATGATTTTTAACCATTGTCGTCACTTGGTACACCTTGTGGTTCTCTACGCAGGCTCCCACTGCAGTCGATTTCAGCTTCTAGTGCTGTACATATCTTTATCTTCTGGATGAGACTGCCCGTGATCCATGAGCTTGGGGTCAGGTATAAACTGTGCTGTGCCTGATAAAGTATTAGAGTAAAAAAGAAGACATTTATATTTGGCACTGGGAATACAGCAGTGAAGAAAACATAAAATCTCTTCAATATGAGCCTAACATGGGTAAGATAAACAAGGCAAGTAAAATATACAGTACATCGTATGATGGTTAGGTACTGCACAGAACACAAAATCATGGAGGGACACATGAAGTGTTGGGGTAATTTCCAATTTGAAATAATATTATTAGAAAGGGTTTCTAGAAAGGTGATATTTGAGCAAAGAATCAAAGGAGATACAGACATGGGTTCTGTAGACATCTGTGAGAAGTGACTTCTAGGATGACCTAAAGACAAGGAAGTGTGAGGACACAATACAATATGGCTGGAATACAGCAGACAAATGGGTGTCAGCGAGTAATAGAAGAGGAGCTCGGGCTAGTTCAGAGTCACCTTTTAGTTTACATTGATGGGCTATTTTAAGTAGATGAGTGACATAGTGGTGTTTAATAAGAGAATGTTTACCTAAGTAAAAGAGACCACAGAGGAACAAAGAAAGAAGTAAGCATAGCAGATAAGAAGACATTGCATTGCACCCTGAAGGGTTTCTTTTGTGACAGTTGTGAGAATTGTCAAAAAGGACTATACTCTAAATAATTCTGAAGGTAAAATGGATGGGATTTTCTAAAGGGGTTGACTGTTTTACTTTGAGAAACTAGAAAAATGGAGCTAACATTTATTGAGCCAGAAAAAAATGTGATATAAGTAGTTTTGAGGAAAAGCAAATGAAATGTTAAATTTGTGAAGTGCTGAATCTGAAATATTGGGTAGGCAGCTAGAAAAGAAATGTGTCAGTACAGTTCACAGGAGGACTTAACTGGTTTATAGCAGCTCCACCTATACAACATTTAAAACCATGGAGCTAGGTAGTGTTACCTATACCCAGATAAGTACAAGAAGGGAATTCTTTGGGATACTGTAACCTTTTCAGGTTAAGATTAAGAGAGTATAACAGAAATATTAACAAGAAGACCCAAGAGAAAGTGATATCTTATAGGCCAATTGAAGTTGTCAGGGAGCTTAAACTGTATTCATAGTTATTGATGGATTTCGTGTGCTTGAGTTGAAAACTGATCCTTAGATTTATTAATGTGACTTAATAGTTAGCTTAACAAGCTAATTGTGTGTCAGGCAAGATATAGCCCAAGGCATCACACATTTGGGGTTTATGTTGATGTAAGTCACATTGTATCCTGACCTATGCTAACTAGTTTGTGTACACACATAGCAGTGTTTCCACAATGGTGAAGTCATCTAATGGCATATTCATCAGAATTTATCCCTGTCATTAAGCAATGCATTCCTGCATTATTCACATTTGACAGAGGAGATTTTAATTTAGAGAGATTAATTTGACTACTATCATTCAGCTGCTAAGTGGGGGAGCCAGACTGAACCCAGGCTTGTCAGACTCCTACAGAGTCCTAGCATTTCTGAAAATGGATGTTAGTATAGTAACAATATCACATACTTACTTTTAGCATTAGATAAGATGATGGGAGCAGCATGATGCATGTACTATCTTGTGCATGGTAAGTAGGCAAGAAACAACAAAATAGTAAAAAAATTTCTTGTTTATAAAAGGAAGTTTACTTAGAAAATGATAAGGGTTAGGGTACCTTGTCTTAAGATATCAAAAGCAGTCATTTATTTAACAACAAAGGTTTAAATTTTCTAGTCTCTGGAACACATATCTATCATTGTTTTTATTTTTAATTATTTTCAATGTCTGAATCATTTTTAAATGATTTTATAATTTTAGTGAGCCATATATTTTGCTCACAGAAGAATTTTATTTTCTGTTTTATGATTAAAACAAAAGGAAGAAATAAATGTGTCTTATAGACCCCCTTTTGAGGGGGTCTATAAGACTAATGAGCTATCAAGTGAGATTAAGAAAAACTGTCTATATCATTACTAATCTCTGAAAAATGGACATTTTATTCAGTAGTAAATGTATGTGACAAACCACAAGAATATTATGTTTACATTTTTATTACCAAAGAAATCACAGATGTTTTCATATTACCTTACAGATTATCTTAATATATTTTCAACTGGCACTACTCGAAAATTATAGTAGGCATTAATTATGCTGCTAGATAATATTTTAAAATATCTAAATATAATCATAAATACATACATACATATTTTTCATTTGGAAATGGTCTAAAAAGGGGGTAAAGAAATGCTGGTGCTTTTGTGCTTGTCAGCTTTTCTGAAATTCATTTCACTGCCACGTGGTGGCAGCCTCTGCTCAATAATGTGAAAAGTTTTAAGCTTTAACGTTTTGAAATTTTCTTTATTTTTGAAAATTTTGTTTATTTAAATTTTTAGTTTTTTGAGTACTGTGTTTATATTATTTCCACTCCCTCATCCTCTAACTCCTCCCGTGTAAAGGCCACTCTCAATTTCATAATCTCTTTAATTATTGTTACATTCATTAATTTTTCTATCTCCTTTGAGTGATAATTGTGGCCATAAATTCTGGTTTAGACATATACAGAAATCTAAAGAGACTCTAAGAAATCAATTACTGTTATTAATCTTCAGTAATGCACACACACACATACACACACCATATTCCATTATTGCTCATACATACACATATTTAGGGTTGGCCACAAGGGATCTGATAACCTGTCTGGGACTTGTCCCTGGAGAAAACAGATTTTCTCCCTTTCTCAGTAGCCAATAATTGGCTGTTGCTTTCCATCTACAGGTGGGGAGAATTTCATATATGTGAACAATGATATGAGAATTACCTGCCTCCCATTTCCCACCTCCATATCTTCCCAATCATGTCCCCAACTTCATATTATTATTATTATCATTGTTATTATAAATGGTTGTTTGACTGAGTGTATATTGGCACACCACATGCATGCCTGGTATCCACAAAAGCCAGAAGAGGGCATGTGATCCCCTGTAAATGGAGTTACAATTATGAACTGCCATGTGGGTGATAGAGTCAAGCCTGGGTACTCTATAAGAGCCGTCAATGCTCTTAACTGCTGAACAAACTCTCTAGCTCTTTTATTTATTTATTTTTGATAAACCACTAAGTCCTGTTAGTGCTGCCTATATGTGCATGCATGTATAAAAAAACCTGTCTATCATCAGTAGCCTTCATAGATGTATATAATGTATCTTAATCATATCCACTTCCCACTCCCTCCCTTCACCTTCATCTGGCCCTCCCCTGATATAACTCGCTTTCCACTTCAAGGCCTCCCTCTCTCCCACTTTCTCTTTCTCCTCCCCCCTCTCTCCCTCCCTTCTTTCCTCCCTCCCCTATTGGGGGAAGTATTAAGGCTACCCACTGCACTCCCCTCCTTCTTAAATAATCCACTGAGTCCAATTATTGCCTGTATGGGCATAGTTGTGGGGTTATCCACTGTGGCATGGGCAACCTATCCACTGTGGCCATCCCTCTAAGTGTATTAAGCAGAGATATTAGCAGGGATGTGACAAACAATTTTATGTGTCATCTGCTTTGAGATTGTCTTAACAGTGCATGTAAATTCCCTAAGTCCTCTAACAATTCTACTTACTCCCTTAATTTATATTCTTGTCCACAGTCTGATCAAAGACTAAATTAGAATTCTAATCCTCAGAAATTCTTAAAATGTTGAATGCACAGAATTTTCTGTAGAACTTTTCCTATAATCTATCTGGATAGAGGCTTCACTCAGCACTGAAGAGGGTGAGGCAGAAGGACTTCCAGCAGTTCGAGACTAGTCTGAAACACATATTGAGACTCTGTGACAGGGTGTGTGTGTACATGAGAAAGATAGATAGATAGGTAGATAGATAGATAGATAGATAGATAGATAGATAGATAGATAGATAGATAGATAGATAGATAGATAGTAAATAGATAGATAGATATAGATATATGATAGATCAATAGATAGATGATAGATACAAGTGGATAGATGATAGATGATAGACAGACAGACAGGTAGATGATGATAGATGATGGATAGATAGATGATAGATAGGTAGATAGATAGATGGATAGATAGATGATACATAGATAGATGATAGATAAATAGATAGATTGATAGATGATAGATTGATGGATGGATAGATAGACAGACAGACAGCAGACAAAGAGCCAGATAGTTTAACCCTCACAGCAAACATGTAAGAACTATTATTCTCTTTTTTTGTGAATGAGGAAACTGAATTGCAGATGGGGAAACTGAACCTAAATGATGGTGAGTATCTTGTTCCAGGTAATAGAACTATTCAAATTCTGGATTTGGTATTCACCTTCAAGTCTTATCCTAAAACCTGTGATCATAATCACTACTGTTTCTTATGTCATTGAATTTCTTGATTACATGCGAAATGGGGCAATGCTAAATTCTAAGGTTGAGATAATTAACCCTCAAAGATATATTGTTACGTTAAAGCCCTAACCACCAACGTGATGGTACTAGGAGGCAAGGCCACTGGGAGGTAATCGGGATTAGATGAAGTGATGAAGTCCTTATGAGTGGAATTTGTGCCGTGTAAAGTGTTCTGACAATATGCTTGGTTCTCTTCTCTGTCATGTGAGGATACAAGACATCAATTGCCTAGGAGCCAGAAGAATGCCTTCATACGAACCTGTCCATCCTGACACCCTTTCATTCTCTTGAATGAAAGTAATGCAGACTATAATATTCCTATTTATAGTAGCATGAACTAAGATATATAATAACCACAAATATTACTGGTATCCTGTGCCCACTGCAAGTCTCTTTAGAATGCTCTTCATGTACAACATCCAAGATAGGAAAGGGTTCCAGATCACAGGTGGATAAGGAAAAATATTAGGTGGGAATGATTTGAATCCTACTTTAAGCTGTATTTTATTTCACCTTTACCAAGTGTGGAAGCCTGTTTTCAGGTTCCTCATGGCTTTACCCAGCAGGTCCGTATAGAGAGGATGATTGGACCACGGGCCTGAGTGC